TATATATATATATATATATATTTATAACCATATATAATAGGTTAACCAGTTTCTACTATAACTTTTTTTAAAGAGTTATAAAAGATATTTTTGTTACTTGCGAATAATGTCCATTCCGTAAAGTAGTATTGTCCATCAGGAGTCCAGAATTTATTTTAACTATCTAAAATATTGCTTCAATATTCTTCAGAGATATCTTTAGTAATTATTTTATGGTAATATTTAACTTTACTACAAATTCAATATTAGTAAATATTATACATAACCCATAATTCAATACAACACATCAATTAATCCGGTTTCTGGTTTTTTGGCAACTTCGATAAGTCGAAATAATTAGCCGATACAGGACCGGCTTTCGAAAATTATATCAAATGAAGAAAACAAAAATTAAAAATGGATGATTCTGAAAATATTAGCATACCTACTACATCATCAACATCGACATATTCCAATGCAGTAAGCAACTTCAATTTTTCTTCAAAAGAACAAGCCATTATTCTATCAGCTATCCAAGGTATTAAAATACATGAATACATAGTAGCCATAGGATCTCTACTCACACCAAAAAATGTTATTTTTGCATCACGAATAGCGAACAACCGAGTTTGCATTTACTTGAACAATTCTAGCATAGTAGATACCTTACTAAACAACCATAAAACTGTAGTCATCCAAGGCAATGAGATAGAAATTCGAAGACTTATTACGCCAGCAAGGAGACTAGTAATATCAAACATCTGCCCCAGCATCCCGAACAGTATTCTAGAAGACGAACTGAAACAACTAGAACTAACTGCAGTATCCAAATTAACGTTTTTAAAAGTTGGCATGCCCGAGTCTGAGTATAGTCATGTCTTAAGCTTTAGGCGGCAAATATTTGTCTCTCCGATAATCACCAAACCAATTCCAAATACAATCTTAATAACCTATGACAACACTCCTTACAGAATCTTCCTATCCCTAGATGGTTTAAATTGCTCTAGATGCAATACTACTGGCCACAAAGATGAAAACTGCACATCTACATCAACTGGTACAGAAACACTTAAAGATCCATCTCAAGTGATACAAACATACACCTCAGAACTCGAACCCATGGAAGTAAATCAGAATAATTCAGCAAAAAATATTTCAGATGATACAACTAACTGTTCCAACCCTATTTCTGCAGATATCCCAACGACAAACGATTCGCTTATAGTACACAATATACCTTCATCTACAGCTAACAGCAATAATACTAAAACATCCAATCAAGCAAAAAGGCAAATTTCAACCTCTCCTGAAATCTCGGAAACTAAAAACCTAAACGAAACTTTTATAACTCCAAAAAAATCCGCACCAAAAAGAAGAAAAAGGCTTTAGATGTCGAAGCCACATTAAAACCAATTGAAAACATTTTAATGACAGCATCTCCTTCATACACGCTAAATTTCTCTGAATTATGCGACTTCGTTATAAACGCAATGGGATCAAAATTTCCTGAAGTCACAGCTAAAAACTATACAGAAGATTTTGACGGCTTATACACCTTATTAAAAATGGTTCACTCAAAATTAAATGATAGACGCATGAAAAATAATATCACAAGAATTATAAAGAAAATAAATCCAACATATGAATCTTCCCTCACTGAAGAAAGCGACTACGATTTATCTCAATAGTCCAATTAAATTCATTCTTCAATGGAACTTGAATGGCTATTATAGCCATATTGAAAACATTAAAATGCTAATCAATGAACTGTCACCACTAATAATATGTCTACAAGAAACTCGTCTTTCCAACAATCAAGCAAAACTAAAAAATTATACGGCCTATACAAAAAATCGAGCAGTACAGCAAATATCCAGTGGTGGAGTCGGAATTTTTGTACATTCAACTATCCAATCCAAAGAAATTCCGTTAAATACGAATCTGGAAGCAGTAGCAGTTTCGGTAATACATCATTTTAAAATCAATATATGCAACGTATATTTGCTGAAAAACGTGGAACACTGAAATCGCATCTGCTTTAAAGCAAACAAAATATTTAATATATACAAAAAGTATAACTCACCTAATAACTTAAACAATTTTAGATCTTTAAGGGCCAGATCTAGATTTTTAATAAAGAAAGCAAAAAAAGAGAGCTGGACCAATTACGTGTCGTCAATTGACTCGTCTACGCCCATAAGGGATATATGGCAAAAAATAAGGAAAATAAAAGGTTCAAAAACATTTAACCATATTGACACAATAACTACAAATGATCTAACAACTTCAGACAAACATGAAATCTCAGAAATTTTAGTAGAAAAACTATCAGTTGTATTCAAGCGATCAACAGTATCACCCAAATTTCTTAGAACATAAAGAAAGAACAGAAATATCAAAAATTAACATAGAAGATACTGCTAGTCCACTAAACACTTCCATAACACTTGATGAATTAAATGAAAGTCTCAATAACCTTAAAAATACCTCACCTGGACCTGATGACATACCACCAATTTTCATCGAAAAACTACCTATTAGCGCGAAGGTTACTTTAGTAGAGATCTTCAACAAAATTTATTCGACTCATAAATTTCCATCTCTCTGGCGCGAAGCAATTATAATACCATTTTTAAAAGACAATAAACCAAAAAACTTATTTTCTTCGTACCAATATCTCTTACCTGTAGCATCTGCAAAATAATGGAAAAGATTCTAAGCAAAAGATTAAAATGGTACTTAGAAAAGAAAAATCTCCTTACATCCATCCAAAGTGGGTACCGATCAGAACGGTCTACAATAGATAATATTATAGCAGTAGAATCTGAAATACACGAAGCTTTTATACATAAACAAAAATTAATAGCTATTTTCTTTGACATCACAAAAGCATTTGACACCACGTGGACATATCACATCTTAAAAACAATGAAAAGTTGGAAAATAGATGGCAAATTCTTAGCCTTCACCAAAAACTTCCTGGAGAACAGAAGTATAAAAGTTAAAACAAACGGTGTCATGTCAACTAAGAAATCACTGGAAAATGGTATCCCTCAAGGATCTGTATTAAGCCCCCTGCTGTTTTTAATAGCAATCAACAACATATCTAACCATTTTATGCTTCCAGTTAAAGCAAACCTTTACGCCGATGATCTTGTAATATATATAAGAAGTAAAAACCTAAACTTAAAACATCACTTAAATTTAAACAATTTAAACACCACTTAAATTTAAAACTAAACGGAAATACTCATATAACAATCAACGAAATCAAATTTTTGGGAATGACATTCGACTCTCAACTCAAATGGACATCGCACATAAATGAACTAATTAAATCATGCCAACAGAGAATAAATCTTCTAAAAGTTCTTTCCAATCACAAATGGGCGCAGACACAACTATTCTTCTACGATTATATCAAGCTTTAATTAGAAGCAAACTAGATTACGGATGTATATGCTACGAAACTGCTACTAAAAGTCAATTGAACAAACTGGACATCATCCAATCCACAGCATTACGTATAGTTTTCAGAGCTTTCAGAACCACGCCAATTAGCAGCCTTCAAGTCCTATCAGGAGAACCGCCACTAGCTCTCAGAAGACAATATTTTTCGATGTGTTGTGCTACTAAATATCTCAGTGCAAATGAAAACCCGTTTATAACAAGCCTAATAAGGAGCAACCCTCCAAATCTGTACTCAAATTATTGCCCTAGAAACTTACCTTTCAATGAACGAATAAATCGATTTGAATTCGATATACATCAATTGAGAGCCACTTCTACAAATAGATGCCAGTATCCTCCCTGGAAAGTTCAAATACCAAAAGTAGATTTTACCTTACTTAACTATCCCAAACAATCACACAATCCTTCTGAAATAAAACAACAATTCCAGTCTACCATCTCCAGATACCCTGATTTCAAACTAATTTTTACTGATGCCTCTAAAAGCAGTAATGGTGTAGCTGCTGCAGCTATTTTTGAAGACAACACCTCTGTTACCCGTCTAGCCAAGGAGTGTAGCATATACACTGGAGAACTACAAGCAATCTTCAACGCACTGAACCAATGTACCAGCAATGATATAAATTTTCTCATTATATCAGATTCTTTGAGTGCCTTAAATGGTGTCAAGCAGATGTACCCCACTCATGCCAATTTAGCACTAATAAAAGACATGCTATACATTGCCCAAACACGTGGTAAAAACATTACATTTTTATGGGTACCATCCCATGTTGGAATAAAGGGTAATGAAGCAGCTGATAAAGCAGCAACAGAAACTATCAATGACATGACAATTCCTATTATGCAAAACATACCAATCTCAGACCAAAAAACATTAATAAAAACTTACATTAACAAAACCTGGCAAGTAAAATGGAACCAAACAGAAGCAAAATTAAAATTTATCAAACCAGATGTTACTTCTGCTTTATTACCGCTCCCAGCTCAAAGACATAACCAAGTAATTATTAACAGACTGCGGCTAGGCCATACAAAATTTACACATGGATACATCATCTCCAAGGACCCTCAGCCGATTTGCCACACCTGTCAAACACCATTTTCAGTGCAACACATAATGATAGACTGTCCAGTGTACTCAACAGCAAGATCGACAGCAAAAATAAAACACAACTTAAAAGAAATTCTAAAAGAAGATATCAGTAATACAATAAAATTTATCAAAAATTGTCAACTGTATAACAAACTGTAACATAACATAATTTTGTATTTATTTTTGTATTTTTCAAAACTGTTATGTAAATTTTAATAACATACTAATGTAACTTTTCTAAAATAAAGATATACCACCCCGCTAATAACCCTAGGGGTTGATGCGGTAAAAAAAAACATTTAGTCAGTATATTAGCTAGTACTTTAACTTTAAAATTATTAGACTTTTAAACTTAGTGGGATATAAATTAAAATTTGATTATATTTATATTTCAGATCGAATAGGTACTATAGTAAATAAATTGCTTACTTGAGCGTAGTTTGGTTTTACTTACCGGATAATAATCCCAGTCCAACTTTGGTTATAACAACTATACTATATTTCATAACTACTTGGTCCCTTGAATTTAACATGGCTAACTGAAGGACACTTAAAATGCAGAATACTCCAAGAATGGCCACTCCTACTGATGCTACTAGACCAGCTATCCATACAACAACTAAAAAAAAATCATTATAAATGTAAGTAATTACTAAGTTTGTAGTTTCTTTTGTTTTCTAAAATCTACATATTTATATATTTATTGATTCTATGTAATCTTAAAATGTTAGCTTAAGTCTAAGCTATAATACAATTAATAGATGTTACCAATGTAATGTGCAAAATTTTAGTTAATTTACTTCTGACACATTGATAATTATTAAAATTTACACTAAAAGACACGTAAAAACTTTCATTGAATCCGAAATATCTACATAAAAATGTTTTTTTTATATAAAATATTGGTGATATATTATGGCTGTTTTTTCTTAAGTATGTTTTCACATTGACTGAATTTAATTGTGCAGGATGGTGATGTGATTCGGCATGTAAGTATCTGTCAGTGTGTGTGGTTTTTCGGTATAATGTATGTCCTATTTATATGCCCGTCTTCCTTCTTTATTAACACATCTAAAAATCGTAGTTGTTCGTTTTGTTTCAGTTCCATACTAAACTGGATTTTATGATGTTCTAAAATTATCTATAGTTTTTCTTCTCCATGTGTCCAGATTATAAAAGTATCATCCACGTACCAAGGCCAAAGTTTGGGTTTGTGTTCGGAATACCAGGAAAAAGAAAGAATACCAGACAGATAATAGAAAAAGCGAGAAAAAACAATATACCAATGCTGCTTTGATTCGTAGATTACACAAAGGATTTCGATTGAATCCAAAAAAAACTTAGCCAAAGTTAAAAACACGGAATATATTCAGCTTCGTCAACAGCTTTAATGATTTAATTGTATTCTTTATTTATTCCGTCAATAATTTCTTTTTTTCTACTATCCACTTTTCTAATAGCTTTCATTACAGCTTTATTAAGAGCTATAATGATTTGGTTATACGTATTAATTGGTCAGGGATAATATGAAGACATGAAATAAATAATGTGGTAAGTGCCAAAAAATCTCATTTTTGTTTTAAACCTTTAAAATGTTCCAAGTACCATAACCAACAACCTATATAATGCGCAAGTCGCCGGTATATTATTACATCTTAAAAAATTCTCAACAGAGTGCGTGTTTGTCAATCACCACAACGTCGCCGGTAAAAAATGTGGTAAGTGCCAATAAATATGACAGTTTCAGCACTGTTTTGATGTTGTATTAGTAAAGTTGTTATTAAAAAAAAACACAGAAGTTAAAACACTTCACATATGTATTGTGGTATAAAAAATAAATAGTTGAAACTTTATAGAAAGTGTCGTCAAAATTTAAGTTCTAGCATAACGTTTTCGATCTGAACAGATCATCCTCAGTGCCTTGTGTACTTGTAGCTAACAATAAAGTTATCTGTGAGACCTCCATATATGGATTTACAGCATTCCAAATGTTACATTTTGATTATGTTGTGACTCTAGGTCGATGACAATGGATAGATTTTTAATTACTTTAGGGACTACATGTCTCCCTGCTCGATTTTTAACACGTGGTACTTGTCAGTTAAAACGACACAGACCAACTGGCTGAGGTGACAGGAATATAATTTAAGAAGACAGCTGAACGTGACTAGGTGTCGGTGTGTTCCGAAATTAATGTAATTTTTAATTGTGAAATTATAAAATTTTATTTTGTTGTAATAATAACTAATATCTTATTAATGATCCTGTAGTTAAAATTAAATTTGTTTAAATGATAAAATTTATTGTTTAAATCAGCAAATCTCTATTATTGAAAAAAAAAACTATTAAATTAATGGGATTAAGGTTTAAGGTTGAATTTAGGATATCATAAGTGGTGATAAAGTGATAAAGGTATAAAATAAAAGAAAGTGATGTGGTACTATACACATAAAAGTGTATAAAGTGTATAAAAATTAGTATGAACTAAAAGATTTATATGTATGAATTAAAAGAAAGTCAGGTAAGTTTGGGATAACATACGTAGCACGTCCATTAACAGAATAGTTCAATATTTTATGTATACTAATACCATAGCTGCTATGGAGGATTAATAAAGCTTTAGAAGAAGGTTAAATTGCCATTAAACGGTTATGCTTTATAATTTTATTCTTACCTCTCTTCAAAAAAGTATGTTTTATTTTTTATGTTTTGGTCTGCACATTTTGTTTTAGATTTTTTTCTGCTTTTTTAAACAAAGTTGAGATTTCCTTGTTCCTATTTATTAGTTTCAGTGTCTCTCTATTCTTTCCGTTTTCAATTTTTTTCATATTCAGCATTGAACTAATCTGTTTTACTACACTCAGGTTTGCTTCAGCGCCACTTTCTTTATCTTATTACTAAAGACTGGATTCATCATCATCATGGCTTATTCACTCCTGGCGGAGTGTTTGCCGCCCTTTTGGGCTCTCTGATTCATTTATTGCGGAGAATCAGTCCGCTGTTGTTTTTTTTATTATTATAGCAGCGTGTGTGACTTGGCCCTGTCTACAATTTTCCTCCATTCTTTCCGATCCTTACAGCGCTCCTTCCAATTGTAGATTCTCAGCTTCTTTATGTCTCCTAAGACTTGATCTCTCCATCTTGTTTTGGGTCTCCCCTTTGGTCTCTTTGTTGTTGGTCTCCATCCAGTTATTCGCTTTAGCGTAGAGTCTGGGTTAGCTCTTTCTGTGTGCCCCAGCCACCTGAGCCTTTGCGTCTTAACGAACTTGATTATGTCTTCACCCTCGATGACTTCTTTAATTTCTTCATTGGTTAATCTTCTAAATTCGCCTACACTTATCCTCACCGGCCCCATTATTCGTCGAATTATCTTTCTCTCTAAGATTTCTAACCTCATTTCATCTTTTTGTGTTAGGCACATCGTCTCTGCACCATAGGTGATCACTGGCCTGATTGCAGTCTTGTAAATTTTTAATTTGGTTTTCTTACTAATGTGTTTTTCTTTCAAGAATTTTTGGTAGTTCCAGTAGGTTTTATTACCCAGTAGGATGCGTTCATTTATTTCATCTGTTCTATCATTTCTGTCATTTACCATCACTCCCAGGTATTTGAAACGGTGTACTCTTTCAAATGTATATGCACCAAGCTTAATTTCTTTCTCTATATTCGTATTCTCTCTTGAACACTTGAGGTATTTCGTTTTGCTTTGGTTTATTACTAGCCCTCTCTTCTTTGCTTCTTTATCTAGTATTAATATTATGTTCTGCATGGTTTTTAAATCTCTAGTAACCAGTGCAATATCGTCTGCATACGCAATCAGTTGGGCTGAAGATTCGATAATCGTTCCCATAATTTTGGCTGCTCTTACTGCGCCCTCTATGGCAATGTTAAATAATGTTGTTGACAGGGAGTCTCCCTGTCTGACACCTACCTCCATTTGTACTTCATCTGACGGGCCTTCCTTTGTTAAGATTCGTGCCTTGGATTCCTTCATCGTCATTTTCGTGAGACTTATTAATTTTTCTTGGATGCCTAATTGATTCATATCCTTAATTAGCTCCTCTCTTATTACACTGTCAAAAGCTTGCTTGTAGTCAATAAACAGTATATGTAGATCTATTCCGTGCTCGTAACTTTTTTCGACTATTTGCGTTACAATGTGTATTGCATCTATTGTTGACTTACCTTCTCTGAATCCATGTTGGTATTCACCTATTTTTGTTCTAGTTTCTTTTTCTATTCTTTGTCTGATCAAATTAGTTAATATTTTGTACATTGTATTTAATAACGTGATTCCCCTGTAGTTAGTGCATTTCGTCTTGTCGCCTTTTTTAGGGATTGGTGTTATCAGACCACAATTCCAGTCGTTCGGCATGCTTTCTTCTTCCCATATTCGTTCTATTAGGTTGTGGATTCTGTGGGCTAGTTCCTCTCCCCCATTCTTAAAGAACTCATTTATAATATCGTCTGGTCCTGCTGCTTTCCTTGTCTTTAATCTGTTTATAGTCGCCAATATTTCGCTGTATGAGGGAGGCTCTGATTGTTCTCCATTCCTATTTTCTGTTTGTTCTTCATTTTCTGCGTTTTCAGCATCGTCTTTCTTTTTAAACAGTTCTCTATAGTGTGTTTCCCATTCTATTTTTCCAATATTTGCTGGTATCTCTTTTTTTCTCTGTGATTTTATGTATTTGTATAGTCTTGCATTGTCATTACTATTGGCTTCGAGTTCCTGCAGTAATTCTTCGATCCATTTCTTCTTTTTTCTTTTGCAGCATTTGTCTGACTCTTTCTTCTTCTCTTTATAGTGTAGGAGATCTTCTTGTTTCCCTGTGGCCACCCACCTGTGTCTTGCTTTGTCCTTGTCTTTACTAGCTTGCTCGCATTCTTCATCGTACCAATCCTTTCTTTTATTGTTTTCCATTAGTCCTATCGTCTCCTCTGCTGTTGTTAAGATACTATCTTTTATGTCTTCCCATGTTTTATCTATGTTCGATGGTTTTAGGACTAGTAGTTTTTCTTCCAATTTAGTGCAGAATTTTCTGTTTGCATTATCTGTATTTAGTTTCGACCGATTCCACCTCTTTCTTTTCTTTCTGTCGTTTTTATCTTTAAGTATCTTCAATTTCATGTCGCCTATCACCAAAATGTGATCCGAATCAGCATTGGCTCCCCTGTAAGACCTTACATTCTGAAAAATTGTTCTCCATTTTTTTGAGATTAGGATGTGGTCTATTTGGTTTCCATCTGTTGTTCCAGGTATAAGCCACGTTACTTTGTGCTCTTTTTTGTGCTTGAATTGAGTGCTAATAATAAAAGTATTGGTTGCTGCTGCTAGATTACATATTCTCCTGCCATTGTTATTCGTATTTTGATGGATTGTTTCTTTTCCTGCGATTTCTCTGTTCGTGTCTTCTTTCCCTATCTTTGCGTTGAAGTCTCCTAATAGGATTAGTATGTCGTTCTTTGGTATTTCTTCGTACAATTCTTCAAGTTTATCATAGAATTCATTCTTTTCTTCTTCAGGAGCATTCTCAGTAGGGGCATATATGTTAACAAATGTTAAATTTGCTTGTTTATTTTTCATTCTAATATATGATATTCTTCCATCAACCGCTTTAA